TAGTAGTAGTAGTAGTAGTAGTAGTAGTAGTAGTAGTAGTAGTAGTAGTAGTAGTAGTAGTAGTAGTAGTAGTAGTAGTAGTAGTAGTAGTAGTAGTGGTAGTAGTAGTAGTAATAATAATAATAATAATAATAGTAACAATAATAATAGTAATAATAATAGTAATAATAATACATAATAATAATACATAATAATAATAATAATGAGAAACATAATGATAGCATAATGAATGCATGTGTTCATAGAATGTGTACACGACATATGGTATAAATCAGCAAAGAGTACAACGTCAGAGGCTTATGGTATTTAGAAAAGGACGGCCTTGACATCAGTATTTGAGAAACGTCCCTGTGGAGATGTACGCTTGTAACGAGGCGCTCATTAAAAATATTCATAAAATCATTGAATTCGGCAACAAACCGCCTTGCATGGTATTGAGGTCTCGGTTTCCTGACCGTATAACGTTCGTGATTTAAAAACTTTCGAATCAATCGCTAGAAACGGAGAATTTCCGGTATAACAGCTTTCATATACTTCAAAAGCTTCGTCAATAGGGATATTATTTTTATCTTCAGAGAATTTTTTCTGCGTTGGAATCTCATTCTTTTCCTCATTCTTATTTGGCACTGATTTTGACGATGATGGTGATTCTGCTTTTAAACTAATTTCCTCAATGCTGGCGCTTTCGCGTGCCAATCTATAATATTTCTGCACGTAGTCCAAATTTACCTGTTCAATCTCGATATTATCATCTTCTGCAGCTTCCCCATCACATTGTATTCCTTCACTTTGTAATATTCTTTTCGGAGTTATCACAGGCTCAATGATTTCAGCTTCCCAACATTCTAATACATCAGGTTCTTCTATGCTATCCAAGGAACCTATTCTACTACCAATCTCTTCATCCTCCATGCTGCTACCTCTTTTTAATCCTTCCTCTGTCTTTCTTTTCTCTTTAATAGTCGTTTCTTTAAGTTCACTTTTGTCAAGAGCTTTAATCACCGTAGGAGGATCATAATGATTACGCAAGTTCGGATCGTACGTGGAAGACGTCAACAATTTTCCATCCTCTGAGACTACGATCTCACCTTTCTCGAACGTCCTTACATTCATCGTATCCTCGACAATCCCTTCATCGTTCTCATCATCCACATCCTCGATACATTGAATCTTTGCGTCAATATCATTCGAGGGATTCCGCGCGTGCGATTTCCCTTGTTTTTTCGCTCGCCTTGCATTGACTCTCTTCGAGTCCATCCGAGAGTTTAAAGCAACCCTCATACCCGCAACGCTATCCGTCTCAGTAAATTCGCAAATGTCACCAACAACATCTTGCTGTTGCTTAGCCAGATTTTTCTTTTTCGTAATATTCAACTCTTCCTGTTGGCCACAAGAATCTGACGAGGACACCGCCTCGTGATCTATCTTACCGCCCAACACGTGTCTGGCCACTCGTCTCCGTGCCTCCGATCTTCTTTTCGCATCCTTCTTTCTTCTCGAAGCTCCACTGTTACTAACTTCCGGCTGCTGTTGTTCCTGTCTACCCTTGATGTTGCTGATTCCTGCGAATTCCCCGCAACTAGCTGCGCGCGACAATGCCGCATTGTCCGCACCGCTATTAACAGATAGTGCAGGCATGGGGTTGCCTTGCAAGTTTTTTGGCGGCTCTTCGTCCATATCATCCTCGTCCTCCTCACAATCCATCGAGATAGCCGATGTGATGAACAAATCAGGCGACTTTTCCCTTCGTAACCACTCTGTTACCGCCTTCATAATCGGATAATCGGATAATTGTGTCTGACTCTCAAAACCAGAATCCTCATTTGTTGCTTCAATCGCTTCTTTACTCAAACGATTGCATACCATTTTCATTTCAAATTTACTCGATATTTGATCATCCTCTGCAACGTTATCACCGTAAGATTCTACTTTCGAATCGTTCGACAGATCTATCTTCTCTATATTTTCAGCCGATTCGTGTATTTTCGTTTCATTTTCTGATTCAATCGTGTTGTTTAGATCTGGGCCAGGTGTTGGTTCTCTCACGAATTTCGCACCCTTCGTATATTTTCGTTTGGATAGATTAATCGATGAAGATGATTTACTGCTCGATAAAGATTCGTGATTCTGATCTTCGCGAATCGGTACATTCTCTATGCCCTTAGGCGTGATCGATCTTGATCTTGTTTTTTCGTCGTTTGATACGGGAGACGGTAGTCCCGAATTTGCCAACATCGTCGACGTATTCTTGTTACTCGAGTCCAGTTGCCCGTTCACCAGGATCTCCCCATTCATTTCGTTGCTCGATCGTTCGCTTAGCTCGTTGGCACTCGATGAATCATTATTTGTTGTTTTGGTAATGCTTGGCAGTTTCTCGATCTCAGTCGCCTCATCGGCGACTTCGTTCGTCAAATGAACTGCCTCCTTATTCTCGAGGAAACAGTTCGTCAGTCTATTCGATTCGTTAACCGAATTGGTAATCGTGTCTAGCGATTTCGATTGACCGTTTTCTAATAAAATCGTTTCTAATTGATGATCAGACTTGATGTTCTCGATCGATTTATCGTTTTGATTCTTCGAATCGTCGGATACGACGCCGTTGCATACCTCGTTTGAATCGTTATCGACGGAGGTCGTGTCCGACGATAACGTGCTCGGCTGGTTTATCGTCGAGCTCATCTCGGACGTATCGTTGGCGGAGGTTGAAATAGCGGGTAGCGAGGTATTAAATTCAACGACTTGTCGCAACTGGAACTCCTGACATTCGGGATTCAACGGCCGGTTGCTAATTGTTGTCGTATTCGTAGTCGAAGTTGAACACGCTGTCCAAGACAGCCGGGAAGACGGTAAACCGGTATCACACTCGGAGCTGTACTCTCCTTCTTCTTCGTCCTCCGTGTTACCCTGTATTTTAATAACAATTTTTTAATCGCTGGTCAATAAATTTATAAAATTGAACTTTTGCTTTTCTCAATAATAATAAATTTTTTATTATTTCTTTTTCTTATTTTTTAGTTTATTTCCACAAGAAATATTGATCTATTTTGAAATCGAAGTGATAGTTTTATTTATAAATACGATTTGATATTNACTTGTTGATTAAAAGAAAAAAAAATGTAATTGATTGATTGCCTTAAGATATTTCTTGCTATATTATATATCAAGGAAAGAAATATCATATAATAACATAAGTCAAATTATTTCGTATTAATGCAATATTCCATTTGCATTCTTTTTTTCTTTTTTTTTTTTTTTTTTTTTTTTTATTTGTCAATTTAAATTTCAATTTCAATTTCAATTTTAACATTATGATAAATATTTATGCTAATGAAAATTCTAAAGATTTTGCATAATATTTTTTTCATTAATATTACTTCATCTATCTAGTTCATAAAATTAAACCAAGATTGCAAAAATTAAATTATTTATAATATTGTAATAAATATTTTAAAATAATTGATTCGTATTTTTCATTTTAATATCGCTTTTTATATACCTTGAAAAAACAATACGTACAAAAAATATATTTTACTTATTTTTTTAGTTCTTACCAATAACTAATTGTTTCTTCGCTAATTGCAAAATTTATCCACTCACCGTAGCAAGTCTTCTTTGTTTCCTTCTCTTTTTTTTCTTTCTTCGCTTGGCACAGGCCGCCGACATGGCCGCAACGTCTGTGGTTCTGATCATGGGCCCACCCTGTATCGTAACACCTTGTACAACAGAAACGCAAACCGATTAAATCTCGTCGCATAAGCCAACCACATCTATTTTAATTTACAAGTTCAACGAAACGTGTATTTTCTCTCTTATACTACTTCGACTCCTAGAATTCTACTTATCAAAATCGGGAATTCAAGGAATAAAAGTCGTTGTTAACGTGTATCGAAGGGCGCGAGTAACTGAACTTGGCTTCTCCATCACTTCCTCGTCCTTCCGTTTCCCGCGTGAGCAATCCCCACGGGACCGAGGAAGTTATTTTAAACCGCTTCTATTTGAGACGCCACCAACGATGGTCAGATCTCTTTGCCAAACTCAAGACGGAGAGATCTCTCGTCGCCCCTCGTACAATTAAAATTAAAAATATTTGATGGCGTGTGTACGATCATCATGGTCGTATCATCCCTTAAATGAAAAACCGGTTTTTCTCGCAAATGGATCAATAATAATGAACGTCACATATGTACGATTATCATCGTGATCCTATCATCCCCTAAGCGAAAAATCGGTTTTTTTTCCCCTTTTGTATAAGCGATCCGTGAATATCATACGTGTAGTAAAATCATATTGGCCATATTATATTGAGGTGAGGAATGCAGTTTTTTCGTATGGATCAAATGTGACCCGTGAACGTCAATGATTGATGAAATAATGCTTTTTTTTTTTTTTTTTTTTTTTTTTTTNTTTTTTTTTTTTTTTTTTTTTTTTTTTTCTTATTCTTTGATGTGCAACGTGCGAGGCAGCGTGCTAATGCTGACGATGGTTTAACCGGAGAATTGGTGATGAAACGCACGGATGAAGATAATTGAGATACGATTGAACATATGCAACGATTGAACACACACATTACGAGCGTGTTAGAGAGTCTTGGACTTTAGTTACGATCGCCAGATGGACAGCGGATATCCTCGACTGAGATTCGCCGAGGATTATTTTTATGAACCACGGCACGCACACGCGGTGGATTGCGTGATGCGAAACCGGGTTACGCGAAACGTTGTCCAAGCTTCTTAAGGAGCTTTCTTCGTCTTTATTTTCGTGACAGGAGACGAGAATTGTTTTAATCTAAAAATAAAAACGTACAATGATTTTGTATTTTAGAAATAAGAAGAAAGACGTATATAAGGATAATTACAGGTCTTACTTCAGATATTATGTATATATATATATATATTTTTTTTTTTTTTTTTTTTTTTTTGCTAATTTTTTATTTAATATAAAATTAAAAGTTTTCCATTAAATATCTAACAGTGATGAATCACATTTAAATATCTCATGATTTTTAATTGTAGAGTCACATGTTTATATTTTAATTTAAAAGTAATATGTCATAGTTTAATGTGCAAAGTATTTGTAAAATAACTTGTAAGACAAACATTTCTTTTAAACGAATTAGATTTCTTAAAAATCAATTTTTTTCAATTTTAAATAATTCTGAATATGTATAAACAAAAGACTACCTAAAATATTGATTATTTTAAATTATATATTTTCTATAAAATATGAAAAATTAATTAATTTTTAAATTAAATACCTTTTAAAAAAATAATGATAGAATGAAATCATACAATAATCAATTATATTCATTTATCAAAAATAAAATATTTTCATTTCTAATAGATATTTTTGCATAACATTTTATAACGTCTTCATCGTCTACATCTAATAAAAATATCGTCAAACTCTTTCTTTCAATAAATCTGTTTCATTCGAGTTAAAAAAAAAAAAAAAAAAAAAAAAGACAACAAACTTCATTCTTGGACAACGTTTTCAAATAATGAAAATGTTAAGGAAAAGGAAACATTTATTTCGTATACATCTTCGCGATCGTATCTAAAGAATAGCGGCTCTCTTTGCGAATTATTACCTTTTACCTTGAATGTGGTAGAGGCACGGCGGTAATAAAACAGCAATGATGCCGATGGACGGGACAGCAGTCATGAATCTGGCTATATCCCTTTCTCCTGGCCGCGCATCCAACCGACACTGTTCTCGTTTAACATTAGAAACAGGTACAATCAAACGTACTAACGCCTAAGCTGACGCAGCACGGGGAAGGAGTGATCGGATAAAAGATTGCGGTGCATTTTATGCTAATGCTTACGATCTTTTTTTTTTTTTTTTAATACATGTTACGCGTGTAATATATTACTTCTTGACCTGGACCCCATCTTGCATGTCGATAACAAATCAAGTTGTGTAACGTACTTCTGACATTTATTGAAACACGAACACGCGTAGCACTTCATCAATCTTTTCTTTGAATTAAAGTATTTTTGCTTAAAATTACGTGGAATTTACATAAGTTTGCTTTTTTTTTTTTTTCTTTTACAAATATTAAATTTGCAAAAGAAAAATTTATGCGAGAATAAGTTGGAACATAAAATTTTCAAGATTTAAAAAGGAATAAAAAAAAAAAATATTTTCAGCAAAGAAAAATATTTTAGCAATAATTTATTCAGCTTATTGATAACTTATTGAAGCTTTCATCAAATGAAATATAAAATGTCGTTCAAGAAAAAAATCCACTTTCCAATCAAACCTTCCCCTCAAACATCATTTAAATCAAAATTCTCAACCAATACCCACCCAAGATTACATGTATTATTTATCTACATTAAATTGATTTAAGAATAGACAGAGCTAAAATCCCCGAATAAAAAAAATTCCCATCAGCGTAACACAGTCAAAATGATTATGTTAGTCGCAAGCGGATTACACAACAACGCGATGCTCCCTCCCCGAAGTGCGCAGATTCTCTCTTAAGCCGCAAGAAAAACAACCTTGGCATGTTCGTCCGTTGTTCCGTCCATCCGTCCATGAACAGAACCAAAGCTACAAGAGAGAGATAGAGAGCGAAAGAAAAATCCGCGGCTAGACATGCGATAGCAATGGAGCAAAGATAACTCTCTTTCGAGAATTCATTGCCAATAACAGAGAAGGAATAAAGAGAAAAGAATAGGGGAGAGCCGAGGAAGACCGTTTTTTTTTTTTTTTTTTCTCTCTACACAGTCTTCTTGTCTTGCTCTTCTCTATCAACTAACCATTCACGTTGATCAAAGGAGGACCAAACATGTAGTGGCCGGGGTACATGTAAGGCTGAGGAATCGCTGGTATCACGTGAGATACGTGTACCGGTTGCTGCATCAACATTGGTTCAAAATAGGGGCCACCGTTCTCCAAGGGTTGCTCTTCCGCTTGTTGCTCATCCCCATATTGTTCCTCCATTTGCTCTTCCATTTGCTCCTCTATCTGCTCGTCCGCTTGCTGTTCCTCCTTCGTATTGGTAAACTCTATAGGTTGTTCTTCCGTTTCTCCGGCCATACTACCGCTGCAACTGGTGCTACCTGTTCCACTCTCGTTGCTGATTCCATTTGAATTCTCCGTTGGTAGAACCGCGTTTTCTTGCTCTTCCATTACTACCATATTTTCCATACTTTGATTGTTCTGTAAATAATAGTGATAATATTTATTAAATTTGTTTAAATAATTTTATTTTGTTTGGATAACGAAATGGAGTTATACATAAAGAAATATAGGAGATACGTTACGTCAAACATAGAAAAATAAAAATTACATTAGACAGATTTGTATAAATATTATCGAACAAAAATTCAAAATCTTTCTTAATTATCCGTACTAAATATCTTATTAATTTCATTAACAATTTAATTGATTCTTAATTCGTTCTGAACAGATATCAATATTATGATTTTTCTTTATCTCGAAATATCTTTTCGAAAAATCTTTAATCGAAAAAATCTATATATCAATATAATATTCAGCTAATTTTTTTAAATTCTTAGATTTAATATCATAATGATTTTTGACTTTTATCCGGTATAAGTGCATTAAATAAAGTACATTCTTTATACCTCGTAATTCATTATACAATACGGCTGATTAGGCAGTTTGGGCACGTAAGTTGGATTAATCCATTCTATGGGCCTAAGAGGCACAGGTGCACAAGGCACAGCCGCCAAAACACTCGGTGCAACTTGAGATTGCATCGGTGCTGGACCAACCAACATCACAGGATATTCGTAATAGTAACCACCCATGTGATCATAAAACGTCCCATAGCCCAATTGAGCGCTGGAATCCATCACTGGTGGATATTCGCCGGTACCACAGTCCCTGTCTAACAATTGTTGATCCTCAGTCGTTTCGCTACCATCTGTAATTAATATAACAAAGTTAAACAAGGAAGTAAGAAGTTAATTTTGAATATTCAACATTGATGATGCATAAAGAAAATAGATATATATATATAAGTTTTGATTGAAAACCGTAGAATTACTTTTGAATCCCTTTAATGAATTTTCTTTGATGAAGAGAAAAAAACGAGATTTTAAAATTATATTAGATATATATAATTCAAGGAATTCAATAGTGAAAGAATTAATTGTAAATTTCATTATATATATATATATATATATATTCTTAATGTTTAATGAAGGAGGATTTAGTATAGAAAAATTTAAGATTCTCGCCACCTGATCGACAACTGATAGACATTGATATATTCACGACTATCATCGCCCATTTGACAAAGCAGTTTTCAATTGTTTATACATGAACAAGATATCACATATTTCATAATAAGATGAAACGAATAAATACTCGTGATTGTGTGAGCAGCGGGCGATCGTGCCTTGATCAGCATAACATTTACGTTGCCAACGAAACGATGATGTACCGATACTGAGCCATTAAATGAGCACTAACTTTTAGCATAAAATACAGATAATTAATATGAACATATCGATGCCAATCAATTGTCGATTCTTTTAAATTCTTATGAGATTTTGCGGTTATAGGAGAAGAAGAAAATTATATATCAAGAAAAAGTTAGAGACTTGAGAACAATCTGATATTTATATATAATATTCAAGTTTCAACAATATTCAAAAATAAATCAATTAAATAACAATTAAATAATTAAATTATAAATTTAAAAATCTCCAAACTTTCCAAAATCTTTTAAATCTGTATAATAATAATTGTACAATTTAAATGAAAAAAATAAATCCTAATCAGAAACATAAATTGAAGCTTGACTCAAGCTCATTGTGCAAATTGAACAAAGAATTTTTCTTTAACGAATATCTTTCACAAAATTTCTCAAGTCTCTCAATTAAGACAAAAGGAATAAGGGATCAACTATTCTAGTTGTCTCTCGCCCAACGTCTCTCAACAAGATACAATGGAGTAACACAGAAAATCATACAAACTTCAAGAGGGTGATAGGGGTAACTCCAAGCAGCTTCCCGGAAACGACGTCACGGCCAGGAAGGCGAACGAGACAAGCCAGAAATTCGATGAAATGCATCACGTTTCTACCTATACCTCTACCTGCGGTGGAATGAGACGCCGATTGGCTCTCGGTGGTCGAGGAAGTCGCGCTGGTGTTCGCGTTTCCGGTCCAGGGTTTCTTCCTCGACAGATAACCCTTTTTGAACAGCATATCCTGACGGGGTGTCGTGATCCTCGTGTACTCGTCCTCGTTAAAGATAATCTTGGGCTGGGACGGTGAACCGGTTGTATCGTCCTTGTGTCGTGCCGCACTACCGGCGTATGCGCCGCCATCGCTACTTCCGGTTCTACGCGGCTTATATCCGCTCTGCCGACCGAAGCTGTGCGTGTTCGTGTCATTCTCCTGCCCTTTCAAGAATCCATTTCGTAATCCTTCTTCTTCGTCCTCTTCGCCGGGTGGAGCTGCAAATTAAATCGAAGAAATATAGTTGGATTCCATGATAGATAATTTTCTCTTTTCATTTTATCATTTATAAATGAAATGATAACATTGATATGAATAGCTAGATTCTATGCCTCATTTTAGCATTTAGATTTTTCTTTTATTTTTTAATTTTATTAGGTTTGTAATCAATCGTTTGTAACAAGAATATATCTTCCTTGATATTTTTGTAAATGAAACGTATAATGGATTAAAATTTAAAACAATATTTTCATCGTTCAAATAATTAATTAGTTAAAGTATATTTTGTGCGCGTAAAATAAAAATTGGATCGATATTAATTATAAACTCTTGTGTTAAATTTATACATATGCATTCGAATAATTTAAAATTACCTAACACTATAATAATATACAATACATATCAACTTTCTCAAGATAACATATATGTACATGTACTTCAATTTCACGATACATTTTAATTAATCAAAGCGAGAAAATTAATAAGATGAAAATTAATAGATTTAACTATCAGAATAGATTCTATAAGTAATATGATCTCTTATGTATAAATTTCAATATTACAAATTACAAATTAATAATTATAGTATTTCAATTAATATTATAAATTAGTTATTGCTGTAAATTTCTATTTGAACTATTTTGTATAATTGAATATGAAATATATATTTCAACCGTCCCCAAATCTAAATATTATTGTTTTCACCTTCTCAATGAAGGTTTTTTACGTAAAACAAAAAAAAAATATGTATATGAATATAATAAATAGTTTTTCGAAAAGTATATTATTAATTAAATAATTATTGATTGATCTTAATATTAACTATTAACTAAACACATATATTTTTTTTAAGAAGATTGTATAGTGATTTTGACGGATAGAGTCAATAAGTACTTATTAAAGTCATAAGAAAGTATAGTGAACGATTTCACAAGCGAAAAGAACACTGGTTCAAGTACCATCGACTCAAATTACAGAGGAATTTGTTATCCGAGTGCAATGGTGTTCGTTATCCACAAACAAATCCTCTTGTATTGGAATGTACATACTATTAGTGATGTTTGAAATGTACAACGATTGAAAGTAAAGGATCGAAGAAATTTCATTCAATGCTTTTCAATTGAGTACATTATTGTTCAAAAGTATGGATTAATCAAGACGAAAATCTATATAATAGAAAATGAATTGAATAAATTGAAAATACAAAGTTTTTCAATATCAAATTTTTAAATAAATTTTAAATATGATGATTAATTAAAAATTTAGATCTTTAAACATAAAATGATTATTCTTAAAAAATTTACATAATTATGGTGTAATAATTAATTATAATGTGTATATATATATATATATATATAAAGTGATTCAAATGCGATAGGGATATGTATTTGTAATAAATTTAATCTTCTATAATAAGAATTTTTTTCTTATCTTAATTTGAAATTTGAGAATATAATATAAAAATTTGATATATAAATTAATTGACACAAATATAATAATATAGATATATTAAAGGATAAAATTTAATTCTTAATTAATGTTTTTAATTAAAATTTCAACAATAGTTTTCTAAACATATTGAGATGATGCCTCTTCATTCTGATACTTAAAAATAAAACGTGATATTTATAAGTGAATAATAATGCGACCTATGTTTATGACGTGATAAATGTTTCTTACATCATCTTGTAGTCCACTAATCTCTAATTCTGAAGCTCTGTATAATTATAAACTACAATTTGAAATGTTTGAAAACTTTCGAATGATAGATATTTCGAATGTAGATATTTTTAATTACGTCACTTATTATTTCCTTCTTCTTAATATCTTCATTTTACTTTATTATGATTCTTTGATCGTAATATTTCAATCAATTATTTTTTTATATATAACAATTTCTATATTTATCATTGCCATATTTTATGATTCATATGTCTGGTAAATGTATTATGTATTATGTAAATATAAATTATCGTAAAATTATTATGTTTATTGGAAAGATAATAGTTTGTAATTCTTATTCTCAATATAATCTGTGAAATTTCTGAAACAATTCATCATAAAAAATAATTTGGATGATAAATAATGATGATAAATAAAAATAAAAAATAAAAACACAATCATCTATTCATATAAATAATGTATTTTCTTTTATAATTAAATATTCTTCAACAAAATTAATTTTTTGAAGATGAAAAAGTCATTACAATTTCATAATTTTAATTGACCATTTCAAACCAATTTGTTTATGTTATAAGGCATTTTATAGCTATATGTAACCAAATGATAATTTTGAAGTTATAAATAATTATAATAGTAAACATTCATGAAATTCGATGTCAAAGAATGCTGATACAAATGCATTGCAATTATTAAATGCCATATTAAGAATCAATACTGATTTCACAACATATACATATATTTTTTTTCTTTTTTTATGATAACATTTATAAATACATATATTTTTAGCATTTTATAAAAAAATGTTTACTAAAAAAGCTATTATAGAATTTAATTTTAATTTATTTAATCATGTTTAATTAAATAAGAATACAATAATAAAAATTTATTTAAGAAAACATTTATAGTAAAACTTCATTTATCAAAATGAAATTTTAATATTCTATTAAATTTTCTACTCGACTGAATCTACTTATCTGAATTTTAATTTTTTATTGTTTCAAAAAAAAAAAACCATAAATGTTACAGAATTGAATTAATTTTATGTTATTTATAAATAACGATACTAATAAATTTTCTTGCATGACAATAATGTGATAATAACACAAATGAAATTTCACAAGTTCTTATCTAATAATTTAATAATAATATATATATATATATATATATATATATATACACATAATATTAATGTGACATAAACCAGAATTATAAATTCTATTAATTATATAAATTTTTTTCTAAACAAGTTTGAATAAATGAAGTTGTATTATAAACGAATACTGTTACATATACTAGAACTGTTAAAAAAAACATTTATAATGTATTATTTTATTTTATTTATTTTATATATATACATAATACATAGCCAAAACATGAAATATGCAAAATCAGTAAGATACAAAGTTTGAGATACAAAGATCACAGAAATAAAAAAATCAAGAACAAAAAAAACAAAAAAACAACTTAACTTGCAAATATACCTAATTTTCTAATGTGATTAAGCTTCTACAGACTAAACTTCTAATTGGTGAAACTAAGCGGGCACTAATGCTTTCAATTTTCTCCACAGTGATAAAACTAAACAATTGATTCTTCTTCATTGTGCAATTTTGTTCTATTTTACTAGCTAACAAAATCCATATTTTGTTATCTACTCTATAACATTAATTCTATTAAATCGTGACTGGTCATGGATCAAACGAAGCGTGTGCGATAATTTTTTTAATCAAAACGAATATGTTAAGTATAATATGTAACTTATTATACCGTAAAATGAGATGAATAGAAATAATAGCAAAATAAAAAGCAAATAAAAGCAAATAATTTATAAAAAAAAATTTGATAAATATCATTGATCTTCAAATTTCTGACAATTTTATTGATCTATTGATTATTAGATCAATATTGTTTTGAAGATAAATTTGTATAGTAAATTTGTTAAATTTAAAATTAATTTTAAATATTTTTTTTTTGATTTTATTTTTCTAATTAAAATTAAGAAAAACAAAATAGCTGTTAATTATGAGTTTTATTGAGTTGAGTGAAAAAAAAGAGGGAAATTTTTTAAAATTGATATAAAACTAAACGTTTCTAAAATTCATGATTTCGATTACTTAAATCTTATTAAATTCTTGGAAAAATAAATTTATCTAAAGACTTTAGAAGTTTTAAAAGAAATATATAATTAAAATGATACAACATCGATTTATTCTTACTTTAAATAGAATTATTTTCTAAAATTAATTCATTTTAATATTAATTTTTCTTCAGAAATAGAAATTTTATTTTTGATGCGAAAAATTATCTTTATTGTTTATTGTTTATTCTATACTATTTATACATTAATACATTTATTTTCCTGAAACATATTATATAAATTCAATAATAAGATTTTTCGTGTTTTAATTGAATCATCGAATATATGTAATAATTTCTTAATTTATTCGAATTTATTATGATTAGATAAAAGTAATCATTATTCAATTTTCTAATGAAAATAAGATCGAATAGTTATTAAAAAAAATTTTATACATTTAAAAATATCCATGCATTCGCAATAATATATATATATATTTAAAGTATTTTTTCGAAACTAAATTTACATACATGTGAATATAAATTAAAAAGAAAAAAACGTGGCATTGAAACATAATAAGCGGAACCATTATTAATAATTTCTGAACAGTAACGAGATTTATTCATTTATTCATTATAAAAGGGAAACGAACTATATTTTTATATAGAAATATTTCTATTCACCCCTTTTTACGGTAAACTATTATCTAAACAGAGACCAGAGCTCAGTTACACAATTATTATTTATCCAACCAATACTATCAGGTAAAATAAGTGACAAGTTAAAATTTTATAATCTTGTAATTTTATTTTTAATTTCCTAATAAAAATTTTAAATTCATGCCTGATAAAAAAAATAAAATGATAATGCAAAATTAGTGTATAAAATTCGTTTGTAGAACTCTTTCCGTTACGTAAGAAAATTTATTATATTAGCATCGGAAACACGTAACTTGTAACTGACCGTTCAATATTGCTAATAATATTAGTTGCACAGTGTAAGAGAGCCTTGAATGTAATAAAAAAGCATCGAGGAAGCTCTTCGCTAGGGACCATGATCAGTCTCTTCCACAGAATTTCCGTACCGTCTTGGTACCTCGCTAAAAGTAGAACGTGATTGGAGGAGCCGATCACGTGGATAACCCTTCGTTGCCGGCGCCACTGCATTTCTGTCCGCGCCCTCTACGTTGGCCGCCTTCCTCGCGAAATCCTCCTTTCCACCCTTCCTTCCCGGTGTATATATCGTACACTACCAGTCAGTCACCCTAGTCTCTCACTCCAACTTCACACTTTGTTCCTCTCTTTCTCTCCTTCCCCTTTCCTCCTTTTTCTCTTCTTAACAAGAAAAAAAAATGAAAAAGAAAAAAAAAAAAATTGAAACTGAACAAGAATGAAAGAGAAATCGGGAGGCTCTTGCACAATGATCGATCGATCGATCAATAATAATATTAGTGAATGAAGAATAGAAATTATAGATTCATAGATTTTCATAGCAACAAAAAATTCATGTAATTTTAACTGGCTTTGTGAATTTGTCAAATTACGAAATTATTTTAACGATAAGTGTTTCGTGTCTATTAACATTAGTAATTTATGACTCGTATAATTTCGTTAACGGTGTCAGTTCAATTGTGCAAGAGTATCCAATAGCCGTTAGTCGTCTTCTTCTTAACCCTTTCTCTATTAGCGATTATACTTGTTCACCACCGAAGCCATCTTAGCATAGCACGAGAGATTATGATCGATGCAACGATCATGTTTTCTATATATTTTATATTGGTATCGTTGAATCGTTTTGAATTAAATTTGTTATATTCTACCATTGTAACAATATATTTTAATATTTTGATATTTTATATATTTTTGATAAAAGGATACCTTCTATTTAGTATCAAGTACCTATCTTAGCACCATATACTACATTTTACTCGATGAAGATCACCAATAAAATTTATTTCTCAAAATACAGAATTCAAATGGCTGAAGAAACCTATAATCCAAACTGTCACCTATATAATTCAACGATACCAATCGAACATCAAAACTGCTAAAGAAAATATTGTCACATACCAAATATCACACTCGTGATTTCCTAAATAAAATCGTACAACAAGAAAAATTATTTCATGCACGCTTTTAAAAATTCAATTGTACAATATAGCATATATATGTACACATATGTACACATACATATATATATATATATATATATGTATGTATATATATGTATATATGTATAAACAAATAAAAAAAAAAGAAGTTTCTATCAACGTAACTGCGTAAAACACGCGTCTCATATAGCCATATCATGCGAATGCTCCTGAACATAAACGGCCGTAGCGAAAGGGTTAAGGTGCCTACGACGATGCACGACACCTCCGGATGGAATTTCTCTTAGGTTCCCTTTCTATTTGCTGTTATATGGTTTAGAAACGTGAATGCCACTGATAAAACGCGCCAAATAAAAGGAGGATGAGGCTGAATAATCTGGTGCACGCGATGCCTCGAGAACGACTGCGGTTGACACGAGGAACAGGGGAGTGGTGGGGGAAGGGCAGGGGGAAAGAGGTAAGAAAGAGATGGAAGATAGAGAGAATGGTTTACTAGCTGGCGGACGTAGCTCATTGGCCGGCGGTCGTGGACTAGAATAGCAACAGAATTAGAATAGAAAACGGGCGAGGACCAGTGTTGGCCATCGGTGATGCTAATCGTGCCGCTGAAGATCGATTCTCTTTACCATTATTTTTCTCTCTTTTTCTTTTTTCTTTTTTCATTCTGGTTCACTGAATTCTGAAGGGAGATTAGGGTGGATGGATGATTAATGAGAAATTTTGCGACGAAACGTTTTGGGTGAAAGTTGTAGACTCGATATAATTTTTTTTTTTTTTTTTTTTGATAAAACGACCGTGATAAATTTCTATTCATATAGTTTCTATCAAATAGTTTATTATTAGTTATTATTATTATATATGTATGCATATAATTTTTGTAAATGATATTTGTTAGAGTGCTAATCAATAAAGTAATTTGAAACTTGATGAAAGTATTTAGGCTCAATGTTGATGATGTTAAATAGATATTGACTTTACAGATGCACAATTTGTAGAGAGTTGCTTCGAAAAGTTTGAAAATTTTTTAAAAGATAACGCCTTTATTTAAAATGAAGACTTATTTAACAAGATATCCTTAATTACTGATTTTGAGGATGTGGACAATTAATTTTTAACAATTTGATAAAAGATGATCATGAAAATGTTTATATAAAACATTTTTTTTTCTTATCAAAATTATTGACAATTATTTGAATAATAATTAGCATCGCTTTGAAAATGGCTGGAAGGATGAAAAATAACTCTGTTTTTAAAGATACGAATTTTTTTAATGTGTATTTTTAAATTATCAGTTTATCTTAAAGTACTACTTACTATTACTTTCTTTATGAATGGTAATTGATAATACGTTTCAAAAAATTAATTAATTAATAAGAAATATTTTTATGTTAATATTTAATATTAATTTAATTAATCGTCAAGTTTCGAAATGTTTAAATTAGTTTTATAATTTCCTAAGAATGGAATAATTTTAAGAATTTTAATAAAAATGTAATGTTTTATTAGAAGTTTTATTTAAATTATTTCTTTTTAATTTGTGACAAATGGTATCATCATTAGATTTCACTTTGATAAATATCTTTCATTTTTAATCTCATGAAAGAAGCAAGAATAGAAATTTAATGAAATAGTTTAAGGAAGTTTCATTCAATTTTAATGTAGACTACTATTTTTTTCTTTTTTTTTATTTATTAAGAATGAAAAATTATCCATAGGAAATTAATTGAAAATTGAATGTAAAGATTTTTTTATTTTTTTCCGATGTATTTCGGATAGTTTGAGAAATGTTTGAAACAAGTTAAGGTTAATGGCAACTATATCATTTTCAAGAATTTTAAAGTGCTATTTTATTAAAGAAGAAAAGAGAAATTTTCTTTCTTTTTATTTGAGATAATATTTTCTAATACAATGTTTTACAACGATCGATTTTAATTAACGTATCCATTTTAATTTTTTACAAAGCTTCCTTGTCCTTGAAAAATCAAGCTTGTATATTATCATATTTGGAAATATTTTTTAGATTCAATAATTTTGAAAGAAGTTACTATAACACAATTCCGATACTCACATTTTCCTATAGTAAGAAAGTCTTTCTAACTATTTTTAAATAATATTATTTTAAAAACTAGCAAGATAATAAACTAAACTTAAAACTAACGATATTTCTATCGAATTTTCTAATCAATGAATCTTATGTAATAATGTGAATTGTTATTTCGAAATAATTTTCTTTAGAGAGTTATTACTATTTTTACTTTCTCACTCAGAAGATAAGATAGAAACTAGAAGATTTGACCTATTTTTAAGGTATTCGAGATAGTATTCCCGTTTCATAATTTCTGATCCTATATTGTATGCAAAACTAGCTTCTTCTAGTAGGTGTTAATGAGATTTGAAGGTTCAACGTACCGAGGTCGATCGGAGTATTTTAAGTAACAAATAGAAAACACTTCGAACGCTTCGCTTCATCTACTTATATCCATTATGTCAACAATTTTCTTACACAGATGAAAAATCATTGTCGATCATCAATCATCAAAAATCAAACGAGAATTAGAATTGTCACCAACCTCGGAGAATAAAATCATTGCCGCATTATTCTCTTCAGAAAAATTATTAAAACGAATTCACTCGTTTCTCTAATGAAAGATCCAAATCGGAGAGCCGAATCCAAACCTCAATTAAACCACTCTGAATCTCTCGAGACTGAAAGTCTCGAAGTAAAACAATCTGATCTTTATCTGGTATAGTTTTATAATATATTACGTTTATCATCGACGATTGTTAAGAAAACAAACGGATAGATGTACCGTACGAAATGATTACTACGTTTAAACGATTGATCACTAAACAAATTGATACGCCAAAAACAATACGTCCCGGGTAAAAATAAAGCTGTGAAATTCGTAAATTTATCGCGCAATCTCACTCGGATGCCAAGTAGGTTGTGCACGCCACGCCGTTACATTGTCGAGTTACATAAAACACCTCTGCGTTTGTCATTTTCTTGACAGACGTTAGGGTTTATCAAGCATGGAATAACGGGTAAGAATGTATGTACACACACATTACGCACACATTAAGATCGTATATTATTTTGGAACGTAAGGAACGTATAATAAATTTAACAACGGTGATTAAATTTTAATCGAAGGAAAGGAATATAGCGAAAACTTGTTGCACGAATATTGTATACTTATTTTTAATATATTTGAGAAAAGTAAATCTATAAGTAATAGTAAATTATAAAATTATATGATTGTATGGATTTATAATAGATAGAAATATAATTTTACCAAATATGATCTTTATATAATATAAAGAAATAATTAAGAATTTATTTATTGCAAATTTCACAAAAAATAGATGCACAATATTTGTGTAGAGAAGTATAAGATATTTCCATTTTTCCATATTGACTTGATATTTGACTAAAAGGAATATAAAGTGGTAATTGAAAATGAAAATACTCTGTTAACATCTAAAGATATATGGATTTTTTAAAAAGATAATAAATTTTTATTAACCAATGTTGTGATAATGCAAAAATTAAATAAGAAGATTCTTTCTAATAATTTATAATTGATTGGTTATATTTTTAAGCTGTTTCTTCTGTAAAAAGTAAAAAAAATTTGATCTATTGTATTTTTTTTTTTTTTTTTTGTTACTTTTCTTGAATATTTCTGAAGAAATTGAAATTGAAGAAAAAAAGATTTATAGAAGTCGATGATCAAATATTTGTACAGAATAAATATTTTATAAGAAATGGATTTAACAATTTATAATTTCAGGAACAATTATTTATTATTTAATTTATTATTTATTATTTTAAAAATATATCATAAAATTAAATTTAACTTTCTTAAAAAATATTTCAAAATACTTCAAAAATTTTCAATATATGAAAATAAATTCAATAATATAATATAATATCGATATATTACTTTTAATTCTGGAAATATTTTATCGAAAATGCATCCATCAATACATTGAAAAAATTTGAATCGTTCGTTAGAATTAAAAGATTTCTGTTCAAGAATAGTCAAATAGAATCGATGGCTGGAAAAGATGTATATATCTGTGGCAAGAACACGCGGAGAAATGTTAGGAATGAAGAAGCACCGCAATTATGGCACTCTCACTAAATAATACTAATTTCTGTTTCTCGACCAAGCATTTAAACCACGATACTTAATCAATGATGTATACATGGAGAGAAACCGCGAAAGTTGTTTCTCTTTATCGATGCATGCAAATACACTATTCTACACTTGTTAACAAAAGTTAAGAAACAAACTAATCATTTCGTGCATAAATTAAATTTATTTTTTATTTATTTTTTATTTAGTTTTTGTGCAAACATATTCGAAAAAATCTTATTTCCAATCTATGAAAAATATTAATTTGCAAATTAATAATTTCTTAACGTTTGTCAATAAATATATTTAATCCAAACATTTATATTACAATTTTGAAAGAAAGATATAGAGATAACTTCTAAATAAAAAAAGGAGATAATTCTAAGTCCTATTATATTTACTTTACTGGAGTTAAATTATGATTTAAATTTTTATTATTTTCCATTTTTTTTTTTTAATAAAATTGGAAAATATTGAAAAACTTTGATAAGAAGTTTCATCTACAATACTGATGATAATGAACTTGTAGAACAACATTGGAAAAGCAATATTGACTCATGTCTAAAGTTTTATCTTTATTGAAGGCAACAATGAATAACATTGTCGTCTCTCTGTTGCAAAATAAATACCAAATTGTAAAAATATTTTATCTAATATATTGAATCAACATACTCAAAGAAACTAGGTGCAATTACGTTTTATTTCTAACGAAAAAAAAAAAAGTATTTTTTTATTTACAACATAATGTAATAAACATTAAATCAAAATTTTAAATGACATATTTAAATTAAAACTTACAATTTATTTTCAAGTAATAATAATAATGAAGAATAAAACCATTAGAGATCATACATAATTTTCTAATTAAAACATCATGAAAAATATCTTTTTTTACTAACGAATTTTAATAAATTTTTCAACCGATCTTCCTACGAATCTCAACATCAGTTACAATCGAAAAATTCATATTGTAACATCAAGAATTTAGAGAATCTAGAGAACAAAAAAGACACACCTTTCATCGAAAGAACAAATAAACTGATGGCAGACATTATAATGTGATTATTAACGTGTCTTTGCACGAGTAATGATCATATTGTTTAAAACACACGGGAAGAATAGTATTGACGGTAACATGATTGTTTGAGCACGCAGTATATAATAGAGCAAAATAGGTCAATTATCGAACGGATAACCGAGCCGATATCCGTGCAAATAAAATTGCA